CCCCCCCCCCCCCCCCCCGCCGACAAGCACCCTAGAGCTGAATGTGGCCTTTTGGGTTTAGGGTTTAGGGTTTAGGGTTGAGGGTTTAGGGTTTAGGGTTTAGGTTTAGGGTTTAGGGTTTAGGGTTTAGGGTTTAGGGTTTAGGGTTTAGGGTTTAGGGTTTAGGGTTTAGGGTTTAGGGTTTAGGGTTTAGGGTTATGGGTCTAGGCTTGGTGTCAGAAGTCAGAAGTCGTTTGAAGCAGCACATCGGTCATTGATCCTGGGGTGTGGGAGGGAAGGATATGTTGAGGGCATTGGCGTTGTTTACTTCAGGGTTTGGGGCTTCCGGTTCTACTTGCAGAGTGTAGGGTAAAGGGGGTTCGGTGTTGTGGCAATGAGAGTTTCAGGATTTCGCACCCCAATCCCTAAACCCTACACCCCAAACACTAGTTCTGATTACCTAGGATCCAGAGTAGCCCTTTCCTTTAGGGTTTGGGGTCCCTTGTAAGCCCCTTTAAACCATAAAAGGGCACCCTTTTGTTCCTAGGTTACTCCTGGGTCTAGTGATTCTGAGTACAGTAACAAGAAGCATACTCATTGATATTACTCATTTAGATTGCGTTTATACCCTAAACCCGCAAAACCCTAAACCCCAAGACCCAAACCCTAAACCACTTCGTTGCAGGCGGCGCTGGTGCGCAGCGCGTTCTTTGGCGAAGGTGGGCTCGATGCGCAGGTGCGGGGAGACTCTGTTAGGGTTTGGGGTTTAGGGTTTAGGGGTTCAGGGTTTAGGGTTTTGGTGTTTGGGGTTTAGGGTTTAGGGTTTAGGATTTGGGGTTCAGGGTTTGGGGTTTAGGGTTCTCAGAGCCCAACACCCTGAACCCATGGGGCCCGGCTCACCTCAACAATTCCATGTGAAGGGTGTTACGGCCCCTAAACTCTAAACCCTAAACCCAGTCTTCTAAACCCTCAACCCTAAACTCTAAACCTTAAGCCCTAAACCCCAAACCCCAAACTCTAAACCCTAAACCTAAACCCTGTGGCGGAAGGAGTGGGCAGTGGTCGCGGTTCGGCGCGTCCAGCTTCCTTGGCTGCAGAGTTTTCGGGTGTAGCTGCGCTTCACCTGTCACAAGCCCCAGGCTAGGCCAGCCAGAATAGCCCTAAACCCTAAACCCTAAACCCTAACCCTAACCCTAAACCCTAAACCCTAAACCCTAAACCCTAAACCCTAAACCCTAAACCCTAGACCCTAGACCCTAAACCCTAAACCCTAAACCCTAAACCCTAACTACATTCAGGGTTTAGGCTGAACTAGTGAGGAAAGGCCCCAATTCTGACGACAGGTTGAGGTTTTCCAGGTTTTCGCCGTGGTTTAGGTCTTAGCCGCTACGCTCCAAGCCCTGCAGCTGAAGGCCCGTAACCCCGACGCCAAGGAATTACCCACTCCGGGAAGCCTTCCACTTCGAGCGCCAGCAAATGCTGCGCGAGCAGCGTCGCAAAGCCTCCGAGGCCTCCCCCGCGGACGAGGAGAGGGGGAGAAGGGTGAGGTTCGAGGGGTCTTCTAAGACTTACTAATCTAACCGATCCCTCCGACACCCCTAACCCAAACTTAACACCTAAAACCCTACACCCTAAATCCAAATTCTGTAAAACCTCTAGGTAGCCCTAAACCCTAAACCCTAAAATCCTATTTCTATGAACCGGTAAGCCCTAGCCCCAATCACCGAGGCCCCGCAGCCTGAAGCCCTGGACCCCGAGCCGCCACCATGCGAGGAAGGAAAGCCCGACCTTGAGCTCAAAGAGGTCTGGAAGGCGCTCCGTTGTTTCGCGTTTGTAGGGTGTATAGGGGGGTTTATAGGGTCTATAGGGTTTAGAGGGTTCGGAGGGTATGTAGGGTCATAGGGTTTACGGGGTTTTTCTAGGGTTTCTAGGGTTTAGGGATAGGGTTTTGCATTTTGGTACTGTGGAGGTTGACTTGGGTACTGCCAGCTCCTAGCTTGAGGATGAATGGAGTTGATGTAGAAAAGTCATCATGTCTACTGTGTGTCTAAGGGTAGTTACTCTGAATATGGTCCCATGTATGGGCCCATAGTTTGTGTAGGGTATATGAGGGGCATATAAGCGGTCCCCTTTTAAGGGCCCATATTAAGGGACCATGTAAATACCCTAAGCGTTTGGGCATTCAGAGTGTTGGGGTTTAGGGTGACTTACCCTAGAGCCTACACCCCTTCACCCCAAGGGAGATCTAAGAGCAAGGGAAATGGGGCAACGATTGCGCAGTCTTCCCGCAGCTCGGTGCTTCTTTCGCTGGCCGGAACTGCACCGAAAGCTGGACTCCACATCCCAAAAATCATCTACCCTAAACCGGAAGTTTATGTGTATATACATATACAATATATATATATATATATACATATACATATACATATACATATACATTGCCTATATGTATATATATATATATATTATATATATATATATATATATTTATTTATTTATTTATTTATTAGTTTATTTATTTATATCATTATTCAATACCCCGGGCCTCTCAAAACCCTTATCATTCCAATCCATTGAGCCAGAAGCCCTCCTAGAGGGCGCATCCCCTGCTCTCCCTTCGTGGGCCAGCTCTTACCCTTAACACCAACACGGTTTGGGGTTTAGGGTTTAAGGTTTAAGGTTTAGGGTTTAGGACCTGACATGCTACTTCCTATGAAGCCATGTAATCCTAAACACCCCAAAAGCCCTAAAAGCCCCTCAAAACCCTAAATAGCCCAACAACCCTAACCCTAAACCCTAAAGCCCAAACCTCTAAAGAACCCCAGAGCCCTAAACCAAAAAATAGAAACCAGAGCCCCGAAAGCCGATCCTAGAGCCCGATAGGCCCTGAAACCCTGAAGCCGCAACTGACGCGAAACCCGCAACTACTTGAGCAGGATGCTTTACCCCATATAGGTCGAACCCTCAACCCTAAGCCCTCTAAGCCCTAAAACCTTCAGAAGGCCCTCTAAACCCTAAACCCCAAACTCCAAACTCCAAACCCTAAACCCTAAACCCCAAACCCTAAACCCTAAACCCTAAACCCCAAACCCCAAACCCCAAACCCTAAACCCTAAACCCTAAACCCTAAACCCTAAACCCTAAACCCTAAACCCTAAACCCTAAACCCTAAACCCTAAACCCTAAACCCTAAACCCTTCCTGCCTAAAGCTCTCAACGTCGCGAGCCCCGCGCCCAACACCGCAGGGCGACGCTCCGTCAGAGCTGTGCCGAGACATCCAGGATCTGGCGAAGGGTTCTTTTGGGGGGTTTAGGGTTTAGGGTTTAGGAATTAGGGTTTAGGGTTTAGGGTTTGGGGTTTAGGGTTTAGGGTTTAGGGTTCAGGGTTTCGGGTTTGGGGTTTAGGTTTTAGGGTTTAGGCTTGTTGGGGTTTTAGGGTGCAGGTTTTCGGGAGCCCCGCAGACCCGAAACTCTCAACCCGTGAACCCTGAACCCTAAACCCTAAATCCTAAACCCTGAGCCCTAAACCCTAAACCCTAAACCCTAAACCCTATACCCTAAACCCTATACCCTAAACCCTAAACCCTAAACCCTAAGCCTCACAGGAGCGCCTCCTGGCACATGGCACGCGCACCTGCGACCCGCAGGCGCAGTGGGGGGTCCCGCCAAAGGCTTCGAGGGTTTAGGGTTCAGGGTATATAGAGGCTTTAGGGTTTAGGGTTTAGGGTTTAATTAAAGGGTAAAGGGTTTAGGGTTTAGGGTTTAGGGTTTAGGGGTGGTTTCGTTTCGGGTCGTAGGAGCCTTTGGGTAGAGAGCTGGGCTCAGGGTGGTTCCATTTTTTCAACGGAATGGTCGGGTTTTAGGGTTTAGGGTTTAGTCGGGAGGCTTCGCGAGAACCCCCTGTCTCAGACCCTGTGGAAGGTGTCAATACCTGCGTAGGAGTATTCAAGCCATGACGTTTCTAACATATTCCGCAGGTATTGAGGTCAATCTTTCTGCAGGCGCCGGCGAATTCACTATGTAATGATGATCTGCACATCCTGGTGATCTGCACATCCTGGCCAAAATTCGAGCTCGCACTTGCTCAGCGCAGGTGATCGTGCAAGATCGCGACGGCTTCATGGTCGAGAAAGGCGCTTGAGCATACTGCGTAGTGCATTCCGCTTAGGGTTCAGGGTTTAGGGTTTAGGGTTTAGGGTTTGGGGTTTAGGGTTTAGGGTTTAGAGTTTAGGGTTTAGGGTTTAGGTTCGCAAACCCAAAATCCCTAGGCTTGGCCTAGAAGCTCTCAAACCCCCATGCGAGTCAGCCATGACTGGAAAGAATATTAACCCAAAGGATCCATGTACCTATATATATATATATATACTTGGGCCTTAAAGGGGTTCCTATCTAGTAGCTTTAGGGCCCAAGTATATACTATACAGGTACATGGATCCTTTGGGTTAATTCGGTGTCGGAATAAGTACTACTAGTATTCCCTTATGGTCTGCTTTTCATCATACTATCATCTCCCCCAAAGCCCTAGTCTAATTACTAAGTCCCCTTTAGAAGGAATTTCCTGCCAGAAGGGCCCCCCTGAACCCTCCATCTTCGTGGACTGGGAGCTGCTCCGCTGTTGCTAGTTTCTTGCAGTAAGGTTTGAGCATTGTACATTGTAGGTGTGGTGGGGGGGGGGGGGGCCTAAGACACAAAGCCATCTTCAGCCCGTAAACTCTTAAACCCTGGAAACCCTGAAACCCTTAACGGCGTAAACCTGAAACCCTGAACCCTTATAAAACAAGCAAAGAAATCATTATCGTAATCATAATCATAATCGTAGTAAATAATACTAATAATAATAGTAATAGTAATCATAGTCAGAATAACAATAAGAGTAAGAACAGTAATCATAGTCAGAATAATAACAATAATAATAATAATGAAGCCCGAACCCCGAAGCCCGCACAGGCTCGGAGAGAGCCTTCTACGGGCAAGGTTGCTACTTCGCCGAGCTGGTCCAGCCGCGCCCATGCAAGAAGAATGAATCAAGGGCTTGCGGTGTTTCGCCGCAGGGTTAGGGTTTAGGGTTTAGGGTTTAGGGTTTAGGGTTCAGGGTTTAGTGTTTAAGACCAGGGGCTTGGGGCATAGGCTCGATTGAGCCCCAATCGGTGCAGGCACCTTAGGGGTCTGGCGTGACCCTCTCAGGTCCAGGGGTTTAAGTCTGAGGGTTTCAGGTTGTAGCTTTGGGCACCTAGAGACTTAGTAGTAGAGGGTCCACAGTAAGGGACCATGTAACTACCTCGTTTTCAGGCTCGCGGCTAGGTGCGGTTTACAGTGTCAGGCATGGCGCCATCCTTCTTTTGGGATCGTAGAGCACCTTCCCCTTTGGACCGCAAGTCGGAGTTTGCTTGCAAGTATCGACTCGGGGCTTCACTGCATGGTGTACCTTAAAGCTTCTGAGCAGCTCTCTAAATGAGCTGCCACATTTTGGGGTCCCTACATAGCACGGCACCTTAGTAAACAGGATCCACCAACAAGGGACCCCAATCTAGAGAACTGCCCTTACAAACTCAGAACTCGAAGGTACGCGCACCACTACAGCCACGTGGTGTCCGGCAATGCCTCGCTGGGGTCCTACGCGAATGCAGCCCACCCTAAACCCTAAACCCTAAACCCTAAACCCTAAACCCTAAACCCTAAACCCTAAACCCTAAACCCTAAACCCTAAACCCTAAACCCAGTCCCCTGAACCAGCCTGCAGAAGACAGGATCCCCGGAGCCGTATACCAACATTAGCTCTTAAAACCCGTATAACTTTCCTAGGACCCCAGGGCAGGCCTTTATTCTCTTTTTAGGGTTTAGGTTCCCTTATAAGCCCCTTTAAACCCAAAAAAGGGCACTCTTTTTAATCCTAGGGTACTCTTGGGTCTAGATTCCCGATGTAGAGCCCCACATGGACTTGCTCGGTTTGGAAGAGCCGTCCCTCATGAGATCCGAAGATTCTACTGTGTGGGAAGTCTAGGATAAAACGGCTTTGTGTCTCGATCTGAAAGGCAGTGCGGCGGAGCAGTACATCTTAGCACCAACGTATTGAATCTGAAGACATGCTAGGTGTTCGCAAGAAAGGCAAGTCTGCGCATGATGATAAACTTTCATGACTGAGGGTGCGACAGCTTGTGCTGGCGGACGTGTTGTGTGGTCGAGCACCGTGGACAGCATTGGGGTCGTCAGGTGGGCAAAAAGCGTTGGAGAGTCAAAGTGCTCAGGTATTGGAGAGGCTTCAAGAGCTCGCCACGGAGAGTGGGGGTCAGGCATTCGGAGTCGTGAGCATGCACTTTCCGTGAAAGTCTTGCGCGCGTTAGGACCGTTAGGAGATCAAGAGGCTGCACACGCAGTCGCCCCTGACGCCCCACAACATTGCAAAAGCATGCCATCGACCCTGTACCCGAAACAGAAAGCTGTCCTACGCAAGGCTGCCAACCTGAACCGCTAGGCCCGCTCTTATAAGCTTCGAGTACGAGACCCTGAAGCTCTGATGTCTAATTCAGTTCTCCAGATGATGGTCCCTTTTTGGGTACCCTACTCAGAGGGGCCGCCTTGTACTAAGGACCCCTTAAAAGGGACCCTGATACCTGATTGGAGTCTTTCTGAAAAAAGGGAATTCTACTATTTGGGGGTCTATGTTAGGGGTCCCTTTTTTTCGTAAAACCCCACATGGTTCCTGGGCCACCGACCTGAGCAACCCCGCCAAAGTCAAGGTTTACGACATGGGAGACCAGCCTGGAGCTTGGCGGTGCTTTCGAGATATTGCCAGAATGCCCAATGGTACCTTTATTCCCTTTGGGGGGAGAGGGGGCGGTCTGGGTTCCCTTGTATATGAAACCCCTTTAAGGTAAAAAGGCCGCCATGTTTAATCCCAGGTTATTAAGCCACCTACGCTTAGTTTCGGGGTTTAGGACTTCATGCTTTTGGGTCTCAGGCTTTGGTTCTAAAGAGTTTTGGATGGTCTTGCGTCTGGGGGCTAAAGGTTCAAGGATGTTTTGTTGGGAAGGGGGATAGGTGGTAGCCCTTGCGCCCCTACACCATAAAACCTTCCACCCGTCTTGCTCGGCATCGACACCCTAAACCCGAAACCCTAAAGCCTAAACCCTAAAAGGAGCTCTATGAGCTCGTCGGGTTCTGCCTGCTGCTTCCTGTCGACGGCTCTATGCCTACATGGGGGTTTCCGAAACTACGGGCACCCATTTTATACCCCCAACAGAATAGAACCCCCTTAACGGGACCCCCAAAAAGGATACCCCTATGTTCGGAAATCCCCATAATACCCCCCTGCAGACGCCTGTCCCGGGCTTCACTTGGGTGCGTCAAGCTGCTCTTCGCGTATTCCACCATAGTGTACTTGGGCCCCTGCTTGGGTCAGTCCAGCATATCTTTGTAGTTTCTTGTCTGCTTTGTTAACGCATCTCTTGGTGCACTTGAGTCTCTGCGTGGGCCAGCGGCGTTCTGCTGCCACGTGTGGTTGCTTTCGTTTTTTGGTTTTTCTTCATACATACGCCTGACATTTCCAAACGTTCTAGGCTCTTAAAAGCAGGGGTTCGTCTGGGGATATATGCTCGAAGCGAAGTATCTCTTTCACTGCATGTCTCACTCTGAGAAATCTTCACGATGAGAAGCACGGTGGAGGAGCTCCGCGACAGTTCCTTGAATCTTTCTCCTAACGCTGAAACCCTAAAACATCCTCAAACCCTAACACCCCAAAACCCAAAACCTCCTCAAACCCTAACAGAACCTCCACCTACACCCCAAATCATAAACCCCGAAACCCTAAGAACCCGAAGCAGCGAAGTCCGAGGCTTGATCGCAGCGGCGCCCGGTGCAATCGAGCCTGGCTGCGCAGCAATGGCCGGCCTTCTGCAGTGGAGTTCAAATACAGCAAACCCTAAACCCTAAGAAACCCTGCCCTAAACTCTGAACCCTGGCTAAGTTTGAACAGGGTTGAAAAGGAGCTGGGATGCCCCCTAGTATACCTCTTGGGTTACGGGGATAAGGATGTTTCAACTTTTTTGAGTTCAAATGGGTATTTCTCAATCTAGGGGACCCCGCTACACTACCCCCAACTACTATAATCCTTACAATGGAAGCCCCCAAAAGGGTACCCCTGTTTTCAGAAGCCCTCAAATTCCGACGAGTGTGGGGTTGAGGGCTTGCCTTCTGCAAGCTTACTAATGCTTACTAGTGAGGCAGGCATGCACTAAACCGTCATGCACTCCGAAGCCCAAAAAAGCAGCTACCAACTAGGTGTACAGAGCTTTGGGGCTCCGTCGTAGTGAATTGCTGAGGGCCCAACCAGGGTAAAGGAACTCTTAGTCTCACAAGCATATTCTGCCCGGTCGGCTGAACCGGGAACCCTAGAGTCAGCCCACTCACCCTCCCTCAAAAAAGGACCTGAGCCTGAGAACCGTGAACCGTGAGAACCCCCAAGCCCCTTCAAGCCCTTAAAAAAATTCTCAGGCTCCTTAGACTAAGAAGCCCGGAATTCCGAGCGTGACGGCTGAGGCTACGACAGCGTCGTGGGCGGTCCACACACCCCCGCAAAGAGCGGGAGAGGACCAAACGAGTCGCGACTCTTTGTCGTGCATCCGCGGCTGAATCATGTAGGGGTCCGAATAATTACAAATCGTATTCCCTTATGGTCCCTTTATGATCATACTGTAACCCTATTCTAATTATTCAGGCCCATATTGCTGATTCCGTTGTTGGCCCCTTTGTCCCATACGGGCCCTTTGGCATCCCCCTCTTTCTTCAAGTTCCTTGTTTGAGCTGTCGGGCGAACTGAGGTATCGCGCCAATCAGACGTACCCGCGCTTTGTGGTGACGCTCGGCTCGCGTTTCTGGCATATTTTTCTCCCGCTAGGCCGTCATGTTCCGAAGCCTTGTGGCTAACCGAAAGCTGTCCCAAACTTTACGTCACCCCCCCATCGTTTGGCAGCACCTCCCTAAACCCTAAACCCTAAACCCTAAACCCTAAACCCTAAACCCTAAACCCTAAACCCTAAACCCTAAACCCTAAACCCTAAACCCTAAACCCTAAACCCTAAACCCTAAACCCTAAACCCTAAAACCTAAAACCTAAACCCTAAACCCTAAACCCTAAACCCTAAACCCTAAACCCCTAAACCCCTAAACCCCTAAACCCCTAAACCCCTAAACCCCTAAACCCTAACCCTAAACCCTAAACCCTAAACCCTAAACCCTAAACCCTAAACCCTAAACCCTAAACCCTAAACCCTAGGGTGATGGAAAACGATGGGGGGTGGAGGAAACTTTAGCATCAACCCTTCTGATCTCAAGTCACTTTGTCATGGGCTTCAGCTCTTTCCAGTGATCCTGCTTCTACGTTGTAGCTTTGTCTGCAGTTCCAGTGGATGCGCCGAGATAGACGAAGCATATATGGCTAGAACCGCACCATACCGCGCCCAAAGAAAAGCAGCAACAGACATGATCATGATTTCCGATTCGGCCACTTTGAAGTAATAATTGGTCACAATACTTTAATTCAGGAACAAACATCACACGTGACTTAAGCACGAACGCAATAGAACTTTGCAATGCCTGGGCCCTAAACCCTGAACCCTAAACCCAGCAAGGACTTACAAACGCATCACTGCCAACAAGTTGGTGCGCAACCCAGTGAGGCTGTGGCTTGCTTGCAGCTGGGATGTCAGGGGCGAGCCAATGAGGGTGCAGGGTTTAGGCCTCGAAAGGTCTAGGGTGTGGGGCGTGGGGTTAGGGTCCAGGGTTTAGGGTTGAGGTTTTGAAGGGAGGCCTTAGGCTTTCCAGGGCTTGGAGTTTGGGGTGTAGGGTTTAGGGTTAGGGTTTCAAATAGGTTTGAAGGGTTAAGGGTTCAGGGTTTAAGGTTTAGGTTTGGAAGCGTTCAGGGTTCAGGGTTAGACGTTTTCAAAGGTTAATTTAGGGCTTAGGTCCCCTAAACCCCGAACCCTCCACCCTAAACCCTGAACCCTAAACCCTAAACCCTGAACCCTAAACCCCAAACTTGGAAAGCCGCTAAGGAAGACCACGGGCAGCCAAAGCTCGCAGACGTCCCGGCAGACGCCTCGCTCCACTGGGCCACGCTTCGTGCCGGCGGACGTCAAGGCTGTAGGAGTTTAGGAGTTTAGGGTTTAGGGTTTAGGGTTTAGGGGTTTAGGGGTTTAGGGGTTTAGGGGTTTAGGGGTTTAGGGGTTTAGGGGTTTAGGGGTTTAGGGGTTTAGGGGTTTAGGGGTTTAGGGGTTTAGGGGTTTAGGGGTTTCTGCAGTTTAGGAGTTTAGGAGTTTAGGGGTTTAGGAGTTTAGGGGTTTAGGGGTTTGGGAGTTTAGGGGTTTAGGAGTTGAGGTGTTTAGGGGTTTAGGGTTTTAGGGTTTAGGGGTTTAGGGCTATTGGGGGGGCTATTTGGGGGTGTTTGTGCGGGTTTCCTTCTTGTTTTTTTTTTTGTGTTTTAAGGATTTGTGGTTTTGGGCATAGGCTTACTCAGGGTTTAGGGGGCTACATCAGTACGATGTTTAGCCCCTTGTCATCTCTGTAGAAGCCGAAATGCCTGTTCAGATGGAAGAGGCCCCTTTCTTGTCATTTTAGGGGCCTGGGCTTGGGCTCTGCAATTGCACGATGAAAAAGGGTTTAGGGCTTTCAGCCCACACCCTCAATACCCAACCAGCCATCGCCCAACCGCCTTTTTTAGTCCAGGGGGTTTCTATGGCCTCCAACTCCCTTCGCCCTTCCAATGTCTTGACCCCTCCTCGTAATTTAGCTCTCTCTCTCTCTCTCGCTCTCTCTCTCTCTCTCTCTCTCTCTCTCTCTCTCTCTCTCTCTCTCTCTCTCTCTCTCTCTCTCTCTCTCTCTCTCTCTCTCTCTCTCTCTCTCTCTCTCTCTCTCTCTAACGCTCTCTAACTCTCTCTAATTCACTCTCTCTCCCTCTCTCTCTCTCTCTCTCTCTCTCTGCTCGGCCTTTTTAAGCCTAGCTGCTGGCGCGTTCCGTCCGCAGAGGTCCGTGTTTTGCTTGGGGCTGAGGTCTCGAAGCAGAGAGCGAGGCAACCACCATAAGGGGTTTGAGAGCCCCAGCCCAAGGATTTGTGCTTGGGTTAGGGTTTAGAGTTTAGAGTTTAGGGTTTAGGGTTTAGGGTTTAGGGCTTAGGGCTTAGGGTTTAGGGTTTAGGGTTGGGGTTTCCCCAATTCTTACGGTCTGGGAGTTGAGGCGGTCTTTGGACTTTCCGGGCTTTGCCTATGGGGTTCGTGGGCTTTGGGGAGACACCTCCTGAGGCCTCCCATCACGGACAGCCTCTCCTGTGTGTAGCCTGGCTCTCCGGGCAGCTGTGCCACTTGCACCAAGTTTTGCATTGTTGAGGTTGGTCCCCCTTCCCTGCAACTCCTTGTAGGTGCTAGCCCTTTGTGTGTATTCAACCTAATAGCCCCTGGAGAGCAAGGAAGATAACCCCCTGTCACCCCAGAACAAGGACCAGCGCAGCGGGTGCTTGCTGAAGGTTTGGGAGTTTGGGGTTTAGGGCCTGAATGGTCGCTGACAATACTCCTCCGAGTAGACCCTAAACCCTAAACCCTAAACCCTAAACCCTAAACCCTAAACCCCCAACCCTAAACCCTAAACCCTAATTTAACCCTAAACCCCAACCCTTTTAACTTAAATCCTAAACCTTAAACCCGGTAAGTTGAGCCAGAGATGCTGTATTCAAGGTCTCGCCACCGCCGGCCATGTGATTCGAATCGATGGCCAGCAGACGCAGAAAACAGCCTTGCCGACCCTTGTCTAAACCCATTAGGGCTTCAGCCATGCAAGGATTCCTTAAACCCTAAACCCCAAAGCCCTAAACCCCTAGTACCTTAAACCTTGATGTTGGCTGCGTCCAGGCTTTAGGGCTTATAGCCTAGCCCCCTGAGCTGGGTTCAAAGATTCCCATTCAACCCCTGGAGAGTGTCAAGGCCCTTGAACCCGATGCCTGGGTTTAGGGTTAGGGTTTGGGGGGGTTAAGGGTTTCGGGTAAGCCAAATCTCCAACTCAGGCCTAGACCCCGATGCCCACTCCCCCAACCCGAAACGCTAAAGATCACCTCAAGCTCGAGCTTTCCCCCACGAAACCCTTCTGCCCCCCTTTTACCCCCCCCCCCCCCCACGGTAAGACTAGGGCTTCGCCCCCCTTATACTTATAACAACCGCCTTATGCCCCCCTTATACCCCGCTCATAGCACTTGCCCCCAGCATAACCCCTGGTCAAAGACACATGAAGCAACAAGTCTTCCACGAGCTAAACTCTAGACCTCTAGAACCCTAAAACCCTAAACGGCTGAAGACGTACTTAGGCGATTCCCTAAGCCCCTAAGCCCAAAACCCTGAACCCCAAAACCCTCAAACCCCCGAAAATGCTCCCGACGTTGTTAACTTGAAGCTCCAAACCCTAAACCCTGAACCCCAAGCCCTAAACCCTAAACGCCAAACCCTAAACCCCAACCCCTAAACCCCAAACCCTAAACCCCCAACCCAGAAGCTGCTTGCGCACAGGCACGGCGCGGAGTGCGCTGCGTTCAGTGCCAGTGGCCGGGTCGCGCTGTGGCTGAAAAGCCGCAGGCTGCTGCCTGTAGAGTTTAGAGGGTTTAGTTAGGGTTTAGGGTTTAGGGTTTAGGGTTTAGGGTTTAGGGTTTAGGGTTTAGGGTGTAGGGTTTAGGGTTTAGGGTTTAGGGTTTAGGGTTTAGGGTTTAGGGTTTAGGGTTTTTGAATTTCGGCTGTATTTGGCTGTAGGGTTTTGGTCTAGGTCTTAGGGCGGTTTCGGGTTCAGCGGTACGGGAATTATCCAGAGTGTTGCTTTCTTCCTCCAGCAGTGTCCCAACACTGGGTCGTTCGGTGCTAAGTGTACGGATTTGGTTGATGTCACACCCCTGTCGCATGTGGATCGTGCAGCTTGGGCAAAAGGTCTGGGCTTAGGAGCTCGTTAAGAGGTTGAGAGTATAGGTTTAGGAGTTTGTGAGGGTGTGGGGTTCACAGTTCCTAGTTTGGGGCTTAGGGTTTTGGGGTTTAGGATTCTGCTTGGCAGGATTCTCATCGCCGGGCCGGAGGACGAGTTGGATGAGGTGGCTTGCGACGATGGGGGGGGAGAGAGGGATGGGAGACGTGTAGGGGTTAAAGATTGAGCTTTGGATTCCGAACCTCATCTGCCCCAACTTTTTTTGAGAAATCTGCCGGCCTCAACATCATACATGTATATATTTCAAGATTCTGACGAGTTTCAGTAGGAGTATGTCTATCTAAAAGCCACGCTGTCCACGCCTCGTGGCTTTCGAGCCTCACAGCCTACGCCATCGGAGGCTTCAGTGGAGCACCCATGGACAGCCCAAGTGGTTGCCTGGAGCTCTGACGAGGCAGTGTTCCGGGGCGTGCAAGGGGCTGAGTTTGCGGCCCTACACAATCTCGAAAACGACCCTAAGCCCCGAAATCCGAATTCCGAACGATCTCGACCCTAAACAAACACTAAAACGACCCAAAGCCCCAAAAAACCCTAACCTGAACACTTCTCGGGGCCTGCGAGTCCTCAGCTGCACCCTCATAGTCCTAGATGTGCCCCTGTCCATCAGAAACCCTAAGCCCCGAAGCCTAAAAGTCACAACCCAAGGCACACGGTTTAGGGTTTAGGGTTTAGGGTTTAGGGTTTAGGGTAAACTAAATGTGGACGTATTTGGGGTACTCCCCCATTGAGGCGATAATGTGGAGAAACGGCCTCATCGCTCAACCGCCTCAAGTTTTCCCCTTGGCACCCTCCTAGGCGCCTTGTCCAACAAAGCCCAAAAGTGTCTAAGGCTCGGGAGGCTTTCCGGTTCATGGTCGGCTTCAAAGTTAGCATACGTTGCGTAGTGGGCTCCACAGAATATACGCATGGAAGTTTCCGCACACAAAGAACCGAGCTTGAAGCGCTGACCCCTAAACTCTAAACCCCCAAGCACTTGAATTCCCAGAAGGGTTTAACCCTAAGCCCTAAGCCCTAAACCCTAAATCCGAAACCGCAATAGTCCGAGACCGCTCAAGCCACAGAGGGGCCCCGACTGCCTTGAGAGGTGGATGTTGCCACCGGCTCCAAAGATGGCAAGGTGCGGATTTTCACAGCACCTTGGCTTGGAGGGTTTGGGGTTTAGGGTTTTGGGGGTTAGGGTTTAGGGTTTAGGGTTTAGGGTTTAGGGTTTAGGGTGTAGGGTTTAGGGTTTAGGGTTTAGGGTTTAGGGTTGAGTGTCCAGGGGCATCTGCAAAGCGGAACCATGGGATGGTTGTCTAGGACCCAGAGTAGGCCCTTATTCCCTTGTTGTTAGGGTTTGGTGTTTAGTGCCCTCATAAGCCCCTTGAAGCCAAAAAGGGCACCCTTTTTCCTCCCAGGTTTGGGGTTTAGGGTTTAGGGTTTAAGGTTTAGGGTTTAGGGTTGGGGTGACCAGAACCCTGAACCCCCTCCGAAGTTCAGAACCTGAAAGGCGAACACCCGGGCGCTGAGAGAGACGTTTGCGCACAGCTGTCCTGCATCCCGTCTGCACTTGACAGTATGCCACGAAGGGGTTGATCTCTGAATCCTGGGCTCTTTTGGTGGATTGTAGGGTTAAGGGTTTAGGGTTTAGGGTTTAGGGCTTAGGGCTTCGGGTTTGGGTTCACTACAATAAGTATGCCGCCTCGATGCACAATTTGTTTATGTTTGGGGTGAGGGAAATCACCGGCAATGGCCCAGGAACTGTTGCAGCTTACTCGATAGGTTAGGGTTTAGGGTGTTTAGGCTCGAGGGCATGCATGGCATGCGTGGCAGGGAGCAAGGAGGTTTTAGAAGACTAGTCTCAGCCATTTAATGAGATCCCTAAACCGTAAACCTAGATCCTAAACCCTAAACCCCATAAACCCTAAACCCTACCCCCCCTAAGCTCTGAACCCTGAATCCAAGAGTGAGGTCTTGTGCCTCGCCTGGAGCCCCGAACGTCCAAAGATGGCGTTCGGGGGCTCTGATGGCAAGCTTTGCCGCCCGGCACCAGAATTTTGCTGTTGTTTAGGGTTTAGGGTTTAGGGTTTAGGGTTTTAGGGTTTTAGGGTTTAGGCTTTTAGGGTTTAGGGGCCCATTCCTTCATTCCTACTTTGCCACAAACAAGTAGGGGATGCCTGGGTATAGGGTTCACAGGGTTCAACCCAGACACGGGATCTGAATGCTTCTAGGAGACATGGGTTTTGGCGTCCGAGGTTTTAGGGCTCAGGGCCAAGGTTGCGGGGGTTTAGGGTTTAGGGTTTAGGGTTCAGGGCTTTAAGGCTGCATGTGTGCAGTGGGCTTGAGGTTTTGCTTGGGTTGAAGAGGAGTTCGCTGCCTCGGCGGTCAGGGTGCAAAAGAGAGTTAGGGTTTAGGGTTTAGGGTTTAGGGTTTAGGGTTTAGGGTTTAGGGTTTAGGGTTTAGGGTTTAGGGTTTAGGGTTTAGGGTTTAGGGTTTATAAGTTTAGGGTTTAGGGTTTAGGGTTTAGGGTTGAGGTTTTCGGGATGACAGTCGAGTCTCGTCTCGTGTTTGTACTTTGCTCCTCGGTTCTGCGCTGCGACCTTGAAAATCCTTAGCCTTTAGGGCTCAACAGTACTAGGTTTTCATAAGGTAGTTTAAACAGAAGAATCCTTGGCCTTTTGATTTTGGGGGCTTAGCAGGTTAGACTAAGGCAGCCAAAAGAGTAGAATCTTCACTCAAGTCCTAAATCCTAAACCCTAGCCCCCTTCATGCACGGGTTTAGGGTTTAGGGTTTAGGGTTTAGGGTTTAGGGTTTAGGGTTTAGGGTTTAGGGTTTAGGGTTTAGGGTTTATTAGGGTTTAGGGTTTAGGGTTGTACTGAAGTGTATCCAGGCTTTGGCTTTAAGGATCTGTCTCGGCCCCGCCACCGAAGCCCTCAAGACCGAAAAGCCTTCCCTACAAGACCTGAACCGCCCCGAATTATGTTTACTTGGGTAGGGTTTTAGGGTTTGGGGATTTAGGGTTTAGGGTTTCGGGTCTAGGGTTGTTTAGGGGCCTAAGGGCTTAGGGGCTTAGGGGGTCTTACTTAAGGGCTTAGGGGTCTTAGGGGGGTGAGTCTTCAAGGTGTGTTGGCCACCGACACAATGACGGTGGAGCTGTGCTCCCAGCTGCAACAAGACCCCTGATGTGCTTTCGTGGCCAAACGAATAGGGTTCAGGTTTGGGGTTTGGGGTGTAGGGTTTAGGGTTTGGGGTTTAGGGTTTAGGGTCAGCCGTAAACCTTCAAGCATTCGGCAGCGCACAGCGCGAGCTGCCGGAGCGTTTGCAAGAAGAAGCAGAAGAAGAAGTTTTTGAGTGAGGATACCCCCCCCCAAGAATAGCAGCACTGAGTTTCCCAAAAGGACCGGAGTTCGCCCAATTACTGCGTTTCCTAAAGGACCGGAGTTCGCTGAGTTGTCTCAAGGACCCTGGAAATGGCAAACTGGCTGACGTCCCTGGCGTGGAGCAGCTGCGGGGAGTCTTTGTCCGCAGATTTGTTGAAAGCAAAGCGCTGACCCAACGAGGGTTAAGGGTGTTTCACAACGTTTAGCAAGCAAGATGGACAGGTGATGGACATTCCAATGAACGATGACTTGAAAAACAAGCGAACTTGAACAGAACAAGAACCCCACCCAAGCAAAAAAGCTGCTCGCACATGAGTATTTCATATTTGTAGTATAGACATATACCAGAAATGGTTTTGAAATTCTACAGTTTTAGGCAGACCTTGCCCACGTAGTGTACAGGAATTGGGTTTTTGGGTTGAGGTTTTAGAAGGAGGGTGAGGGCGGTGGTACTCTCGGCGTATTGACTGGTGGCGTTTTCTGCTAGGGTACTTGTAAGGAGGCCCAGTAGTACCCTTATTCCCTTTTTGGGGGGTTTAGGTTCCCTTATAAACCCCTTTAAGCAAAAAAGGGCACCCTTTTTAAGCCTTGGTTACTGGGCAGCCTAGCTTGTAAGGGTACTCTTGGTGGATTGATTGGTGGGATTTCCTAGGAGGCGCGGGGGCTTGAGGTGAGGAATTACCCAAGCCGGGCAAGGGTCCTGCTAACTTCTTACCGTTCAACGACCTTCTGCCCAAACCCTGAACCCTGAACCCTAAACCCTAAACCCTAAACCCTAAACCCTAAACCCTAAACCCTCACCCAAGGAGCGGTTGGCTGCCGGGTGTGATGATGGCAAGCTGCATGTCTTCCGCGCAGGCGGGGGAAGGGGAACCCAATCACAGCACGAGCCATGACAGATATCCAGAAGGCGATCCCTGCTGCTTCAGGGTTCAGGGTTTAGGGTTTAGGGTTTAGTGTTTAGGGTTTAGGGTCTACGGTTTAGGGTTTAGGGTTTAGGGTTTAGGGCTTCGGGTCTATGGTTTTAGGGTTCAGGATGTTATCAGTACATCTCCATGCCACATATGCCTGCGAATGTCAGCAGGTGCTACTTTGTTCGTTGTTCTTCCGCTTTTCACTACTGTTGTGATTTACAACATGCCTGTTCATAGTGTGCTTATGTCAGTCTGTTCATGTCCCAATTATGTGTCCTCCAAGCTTCAGATACTCTCAACATGCATCGTGCTAGCTATCTTTACTGCTGAATTTGACTCTTCCGTTTCTGTTTCTATCAGTGTGCTTGGGATACCTCGTCACTAGAGCTGCCCACCTGTAATCTTCACCATGCCCCATCGCTCCTGCAAGGCTCACCTGAGTGCGCCATACAGCACGAGGACCGTATTTGGGCCAGCACGTTTCACCCCGACTTTGCGCACGTCGTCGCCACCGGCGCGGTCGACGGAAAGATTCGCATCGCCAGCACCACCACATCCACGGCCGAATCCGTGTCGCGCGGGAACGAGGTAGTCACAAGTGCTGCCTGGAACCCAGCCGGCGACGCACTGGCCGTGGGAGGGGATGGCGGCACGCTGAGGATTATCTCCTTTCAAGCCCAGAAGATCCAGTCGAGTTCGCAACAAACAGGCGCAAAAATCATATTCGACTTTCTTTGTCCTGACTTGCATTGTGTTCCAACAGCCGAGGGTAGAAACCCAGCAGCGCTGTAAGTTTGCAACAGTCAGTGCAACCCTGAATCTAAACTCCATGACCCCATGGCTGAAGTTCTGAAGTCTTGCTGTCAGCTACATGAATCCAAGTCTTCCAAGGAGTCAGGACTCGCCCTAAACCCTAAACCCTAAACCGTAAACCCTAAACCCAACATCCTGACCCTGAGCCCACAGACCCCGAAACCATTGTCTCCTTATCACGAAAGACTGACAAGTGCTATTTGTCTGACGCTTCCAATCAAGGTGTAGAAAATCTACGCCCTTACAAAATGTCCACAGCAGCTACTATTTACGTAAGACCGTAGAAAATAAGATGCAAATAATCCCTCTACTGCCCTTATAAGAAAGAACATTTTCTTTAAGCAACTAGCAGTAGACAGCTGAAGAGCCCCAAACCCTAAACCCTAAACCCTAAACCCTAAACCCTAAACCCTAAACCCTAAACCCTAAACCCTAAACCCTAAACCCTAAACCCTAAACCCTAAACCCTAAACCCAAGTAGACGGCTGAAGCGCTCAGGTTCTCTCTGGACGAAGTCTTCGACGATGTGCCGAAGAGGGGAGGGTACTCGGCAGTGCCTGGATTCGAGAGGCAGGGTTGTTTTTTTGGGGGGCAAATGTCGCCTCCCTCGATCCTATGGGGTTTAGGGTTTAGGGTTTAGGGTTTAGGGTTTGGGCTGCGCATCTTCGATTCAGGATTCAGCAAGAATCTCTGTAACTTCCTGGCCCCCATTCTTACATCCACACCGGCTCCGACGCGGCATGATTTGTCAAAAGCGGTTTCAGGTTTGAGGGGTGCGATCCCCAAATACCAAAAGCAATCGAGCTGAATGTTTGAGTGGGTTTGGACTGTGGGGGGCCCGGTGGGTGAGCTCCCTGCCTCTATCCCCTTCTCGAAGACCACCTTATGGTAAGTTAATGTTCCTTTTTACCAGTATCAGGCGGCCACCAGTAGTGAGGGTATCCAAGAAAGGACCATACTTTTGAGAACTGACCATAGGACTTTTGAAGGGCTGGGGTAGCCAAGCTGTCCTTATTCTGATTGACTCCTGTCAGGTTTTCGCCTCCGAAGGCAAAAGACGCCATTACGGTTGAGACGAAGGCCGACTATGCAATCCCTGGTTTAGGAATTTCAGGGGACCACTCCCTCCCGCACCAATATCATCCCTTGACAGTCTCTGTACAACCCCCCCCCCCCCCCCCCCCTCCCCCATGTTTTTGGCAACTGAACCCTAAACCCTAAACCCTAAAGCCTAAACCCTAAGTAAACCCCATGTTTTTGGTAACCGCCCATCGGGCGCTGCCTAATCCCAACTGCGCCCTACACCCGAAACCTAAACCCCACCCCCAACCCTAAAGGTAACCACCATCACGAACCCAACTTCGGGTAGCCCAACCCCGAAAACCCCAAACTCTGGAGACAAGATTTGTTGGGTTTAGGGTGTAGAGTGTAGGGTGTTCGCATGGAAGCTGAGATGCCCATCGGCGGTCTCACATGCCACTAGCAACCTTAAACCCTAAACCCTAAACCCTAATTTCTAAATCCTAAACCCTAAACCCTAAATCCTAAACCCAAGCAGATGCTCGGGGCACTTCTATGCTCCGCAACCCCGCGACCCCCAAGCAGAAATTGCCCCAGAAGCCCACGGCTCACCCATCTCAAGCCCTACAGTAACTCTGCGGTGCTTTACAGTAACTTTAGATCCTTAGCCTTTTGGGGTTTACTGGGTTTCTTGACCAGGCAGCTAAAAGTGTGTAGCCTACTAAGTGCAGACAAGGCAAAGTCCACAAAGTTGGAACATCCTTCTTCCCATACCCCCCCCCCCCATTAGGGTTTAGGGTTTAGGGTTTAGGGTTTATTCCAAGTATGTAGAAACCCATCGCGGTCCTCCTCAGGACGAAGGTGGCAAGGTGTTGGACAAAGGCGCACCGGAGGCGATCTGGGATTTAGAGCTTGGGGGTTTAGGGTTTAGGGTTTAGGGTTTAGGTTTAGGGTTTAGGGTTTCAGGAGGGTGTCTGCATTTGAGGGTTTCGAGCCCGGTTGGGGTTGAGGGACTTCTGGTCCAAGGGATCTAGAGGTTCGAGGTCGTGGGCGCCAGAGATGTTCTGTAGAGCTTTGAGGTTGAGGGCACCAAGCACGGCGAAGCTTGGCAGTTCCAGCAGGTGCGTTCTTGGGGTTTATTCCGGCGTGCTGGGTCGGCTTCAGGCGCACCCTAAGCCCTAAACCCTAAACCCTAAACCCTAAACCCCAAACCCTAAACCCTAAACCCTAAACCCTAAACCCTAAACCCACCCTAATCACCCCGAATGACCCCAAGATCACCCGGAACCACGAGCCCTGCTGTCTCAAAGCCCGGCGCCACAGGTCACCTTCAGTTTGAACGTGAGCCCGGTCTTGCTTTCGGTGCTGGACCAGATCGCGAAAGAAGTGGAGGACCGATTAGGATTCAGGCCTGACCCAAGACCTCCTCACAAAATCTAATCTGGGAGCTTCTGTGCCCCAAAAACATCCTCTAGTAAGGCAATGTTTGGGTACTTGTAGCAATAAGGGACAAGGGAACCCTTCTGGCGGGCTGAAGGTTTAGCATCGCAGAGCGGCTCTAGAGACGTCATCGCCGCTCTCCGCGGAAGGTTCGAGCGGGGGATTCCTGGACAAAGTGCCGCCAAGCGTCCAAAGAACCCTAAACCCTAAACCCTAAACCCTAAACCCTAAACCCTAAACCCTTCATGTTCAACAAACACGAGAGCAGGCCCGGACTGTGCACACAAAGGCAATGTGCGGCAGACGTCTCCACCCAAGCCAGGTGGAAACCCAGGCCATTCCAAGTATGTACAGAATAGGGTTTAGGGTTTAGGGTTTAGGGTTTAGGGTTTAGGGTTTAGGGTTTAGGGTTTAGGGTTTAGGGATGCTTGAGAGTAAATGTGTTGCCATTTGGAGCACTTGAGGCTTGGAGCTCTAAGTGCTCAAATGAAGCGAGTACTTGGGGACAAGCTCGGTGACCGAGGAAAAGGGGGTCGGCTTACGACGCAAACAGCACGAAGACAGAAAATAGGTTACCTTTAGGTGTTGGGCCACCCATGGACTAAGCTGCCCTCCCCCTCACCCCCACCCACCCCGCCCCCCTTTTTATCATGAACCTTCCAAAGCCCGAAGACCCTGAACTCCCAAGCCGCTCTCTTAACCAAATTCTGAAGTAAACTTTGTCAGAGTGGGTTAACATATGACATGTTAAGGGTACGTAGACTCAAGAAGTTACAGTTTTTAATCCTATCCCAACCATGAACTAGTATAGAAGCCTTAATTAGACCCCAATGCTTTGTGTCCTGGGGGCCTGGGCCTGGGACCAGCTTACGGTGCAAGGTTTCATTGCTGGCTGGTTCTTAGTAGGGAATCAGGGAATTTGGGGCCCTATATAATCCCTTAAAAGGTGAAAATAGAGGGCCCCCATTCCCCCATCCCCCATTAAGATCCAGAGGGATAAAGGTAGGTTCGGACTTATTTGGGAATCCGAGTTTTAACCTTTGGGGTGAGGCAAAAGGGATGGTTTCGGGGCTTAGGTGAGCTTATCCTTTTACCTGTAGAGCTCGCAAAACCGCCAGATCCTCGCAGGAACGGGGAGGACTGCCTTTCAGGCAGCAAACGATTTAAGGCCAATGGGGCATGTACTTGCGGTTGGCATTTAAACCCTAAACCCTAAACCCTAAACCCTAAACCCTAAACCCTAAACCCTAAACCCTAAACCCTAAACCCGGATCCCTGAACCCTAAACCCTGTGCAGCCTTGCTGTTCGAGGCGCACGTCCGAACACCTGTAAACCTGTGGGCCCCTTTGCGCGAAGCCCAAAACCCCAAACAATGAAATTGTGGACCCCCCTAAACCCTAAACCCTAAACCCTAAACCCTTAACCCTAAACCCTAAACCCTAAACCCTAAACCCCTGTACCCTTGAACTTTGGTGTATTGCCGTGTTTCGGTGGGGCTGTAGAAACACCGTGCCTCGCAAAGGCTCATCAGCTAGACCAGACTTTGGGTTTCAGGGCTTCAGGGCGTTTAGGGTTTAGGGTTTAGGGTTTAGGGTTTAGGGTTTAGGGTTTAGGGTTTAGGGTTTAGGGTTTAGGGTTTAGGGTTTAGGGTTTAGGGGCTTTTAGGGTTTAGGTTTCGGGGTTCGGGACTTGGGGCTTCACGGTTTTCGGGCTATTAAGGTTTAGGGTTGAGGGGTATAGGGTTTAGAGTTTAGGGTTTAAGGAATAGTGTTTAGGTTTCGGGGTTTAAGGGGTTTAGAATTCAAGGATTTGGGTTTGTAGGGTTCAGGGTTCCCCCTAAACCCAAGGGCCAGGGCCGAATTGCAACGGGCTCCAGGCCGAATATGCAACCTTCCTCACCCTTAAGCTGTTAATCTTACGCCTGCAAAGCTCTTGTTACGCTTCCAACACCCCCACAAATGTTTTGGCCAGGCTCGGAAGCGTTCCGAGCTCATGGACGATCCCTGAAGACAATCCTGAGGCAGTAGATTTCAAGGATTACAGGAATCAGGCCTCCTTTTTGAAGGGGGAGGGGGGGGGGAGGGGGTTGTAGTTTCGAACCCCAACTTGGCTCAGCCTGTGAGGCTGGGTTTCTGGTAGTTGGATGAAGCCTAAACCCTACAGCCGCAAGGCCTGAAACCGTTAACACCCTGAAACCCTGAACCCTAAACACGGGTGTTGCATGGTTAGGGTTTAGGGCTTAGGGTTTCGGGTTTCGGGTTTCGGGTTTCGGGTTTCGGGTTTCGGGAACCAGAAGAGCGATAGACCCCAGGCTCACTGTTGAACGACCCCCCTAAGGTCACGATCCCCCGCAAGCTCAAAGGAGGTGAAGGATGAGGGACAGTGCAAGATTCAGGATGTATAATATCTATATATATATATATTTATTTATTTATTTATTTATTTATTTTGTTTATTTTCATGTTTCTCATTGTTTACTTAGATGTAGTGTCGGATGTTGAATATTGTATACATCATATGATGTATCAATCGTATTTCGTATTCAAAAGGGTTTAGGGTGCAGGGATTAGGGGTGCTGACTTTGCTACCCTAACCAATCAGCCTTAGCCCTGGCCGCAATCCATAACCCTAGACCCTTTTGGGGTTAGGGTGGAGGGTTTGGGGTTTAGGGTTTAGGATACCTCGGCGAAATTGATGACAGGACTCACTGTGTTCTATCGCTGATTGTCGAAGCCTCGTTTCAGGATATCCCCCCCCCCAGGAGGAAGCTCCAAACCACTGATCCAGGAGGCGTTGCATCAGATCGGTCGGAATTCAGAGGTTGTGATGGGGTTTCAGGGTTTAAACCCTATAAACCCTAAGCCCGAATTGACCCTAGACCCTAAGGCTTGTGGAATCCTGAGAGCCCTTGCAGCTGAACCGATCAGGGCCTAAGCGGCACTCACAAGAGGCGCAACTTCCAAAAGCTCTGCATCAACAGCTACACAACCCTAAACCCTAAACCCCTAACCCCAAACCCCAAACCCCAAACCCCAAACCCCAAACCCCAAACCCCAAACCCTAAACCCTAAACCCTAAACCCTAAACCCTAAACCTATACACGTAGCCGATCACCTGCCCTGAACACCCTCATGGGATACCCCGACCAGTCCAGGGTCCTAAGCTCTGATCCCTCACTTGCTGACCCGAACCCGAAACCCTAAACCCTAAACCCTAAACCCTAAACCCTAAACCCTAAACCCTAAAGCCCACAAGATTGAGTTGAAACCCGATGTCTTCCCTAGAAGCTGCATGTTGGTGTCTTCGTGAGTCTTCTTGCAACGTCTCCCTCGAGTGTTTTCTTCGGGACGCCACTCCACTGATGAGGAGATCAGCACCATTTGAAGCTGCTGTCCCACCACGAGAGCACTTAGGGTTTCGGGAATCTGGGGGGAGGTCGGAATGAGAGGGCAAACACCTGCTCATAGCTCTCATGCGTTTCTTCGCCTTAAAGCCTAACGCCAACCAACAAACCTCAAAACTAAACCTTAAACCCTAAAACGCAAGAGCCTGCTAAAAGTATCAACCCCACTCAACGCCGTCGCTCTTGTCTAAACCCGAAGGCCCTCAAACCTCTCAAACCCTCAAACCCCTAAAGCCCTACAAACCCTAAAACCCTAAAACCCTAAGACCCTAACCCTTAAAACTCTAAAGCCCTAAAACCCTAACCCCTAAAAACTCTAAAGCCCTGAAGCCCTGAAAACCCTAAAGCCCTCAAACCCTAGAACCCTTAAACCCTCAAACCCCTAAGGCCCTAAAAACCCTAAAACTCACCCTAAAACCCTAGAACCCTAAAACCCTAAAACCCCAAAGCCCTACAACCCTAAAACCCCAAAACCCCTCAAGCCCCCAAAGCCCTTAAAACCCTAAACCCCAAAACCCTCAAACCCTCAAACCCCCAAAGGCCCTAAAACCCCTAAGACCCTCAAACCCTCAAACCCTGAAACCCCCAAAGGCCCTAAAACCCCGGCATGGCGACTGGCGGTCCCTACTGTGCACTTTCAGAGGACCTTGTTGAGGAATAGGCTCCGGAAGGTTAAAAACCAGTTTAGGGTTTAGGGTTTAGGGTTTAGGGTTTAGGGTTTAGGGTTTAGGGTTTAGGGTTTAGGGTTTAGGGTTTAGGGTTTAGGGTTTAGGGTTTGGGGCACCTGTTGCCATACCACGCCAGATACCGAAATGGGCACCCTCAGCATAGTGGGGGTTTTTGGGTTACCTCGTCCGTCACCCCTGATCTACCCGCTTTGCCCAAGCGAAGCTTTGCCTCTCGCCAAGGGCAATTTAAAGTTGCGAGATGGTGGTTTTAGAAGCCCTCCTGCCTTTGCCTCGCCGCGACTCCATTTCTGTGGGGCTTGCATCCAGCTTGCCTCGTGTTCACAGATGCCTTTAGCTTTAAACTCCAATACCCCAGTTCCTGCAACCAAGACTTTCTGAATCATCTGGTGCGACACCCGCAAGCTCATCCATGCACTCGCCAGAATTTCCCTAAACCCTAAACCCTAAACCCTAAACCCTAAACCCTTAACTCCAGTTTGGGCAAGAGGCAGGTCCGGTGACAGGAGTGGCCAGTGAATCCCCCCCTCGCCCCTCCCGGATGATAGGGCCCTCGACCAAGACGTAAGAGTGTAGGGTTTAGGGTTTAGGGTTTAGGGTTTAGAGTCTAGGGTCTAGGGTTTAGGGCTTTAGGATTTAGATACCCTCACAGAAGGAACACGGAATTCCCTATTCTGCAAACAGAGAGCTCATGAATGGTTCCCCCCTTACACGGACATATACAGCATACCTGGAATTGGGTCCCGATGTTGGAGCGGTTAGAAGGGCGTGGAAGAGATGATCCCAACATCTGCTAAACCTACAAGTCCTGGGATTCAAGGTGTGGGGCTTTAGGGTGAGGCCCATTTTGAATTGAGTCCTA